AGCCTGAATGTACATTCATTCATATACACATGTATAGTACACCTAAAAGCACACTTGAGGGCATGCGTGTCTTGATTTTCTTCCTGGTAATGTTAAGAGGACAAATTTGATTTAGTTTGATATTAAGTGAATTGAAATATAACGCGGGAGTATTATTGTAAAGCGAATATTTTAGATTCGACCAATCACAACAAACATTGTCTTTTTCATCATTTCGGTAAAGTGACTTGTATGTCCTCAATGCTATTGTAACTACCACATTTCACGGATATTCAGGGTCGATTAATAGGGTATAATAAAGAGCTGGAATTGTGAATTATGAAAACTGATCACCGTTGATTTCAGTTCCTTCCAGCTGGCAAGTCCGACGAGGACCTCCACACCAAACTACAATGTTACGACTTCCAGAAGATGACAGGGCCCTTGTGGTGCGTGAAGCTGAGGCCAGAACCAGACTGCTCACCCGATGGCGTGTTCAGGGAAGGCATTGAGGGGTATCCTCATATGTATTCGATGTACTGGGGCATCAATCACGCTATCACGGACGGCACTTCGAACTCCACCCTTTGCGGCTTCATCGTCCAGCTCCTCGACGATGTTCTGGCAGGGAAAGAAATCAATGACGAGGAACAGCTCGGGATTTACATATCGGACGAGAGGACGAAGCAGGCTCTGCGCGAACAAGAGGCTCGCGTGGACAGTGATGCCGTACTGCGGAGCAAATTGACAAAGGAATACCAGAGTCTCTTTGGACGGCGCTCCCTTGTTACGACACTTTTTAAGGACGTTGGAGAGGAAAAGGCAAGGACTCTACATATGACGCGGGATTTAGATTTAGAAACTAGCGCTGCCTTCATCAAGCGGTGTCACGCGGAGGGCATCACGGTCAATTCTGCTTTTACAGCCATTGGAAACTTTGCGATTGTGGATCTCCTGGCGAAGGCGGGCCTCGAGCAAGAATCGTACAGCATTCGCAGTGAGCACGTCGTCAACGCGCGCCGCTACTGGAAGGGCGATAATACTGGGTACCTTGGCTGTCATATCACGCCGCTGTTGACTTCGGTCTTCGAAACTCCGCGAAAATTCAGTGCAGACTTTTGGAATTACGCCAAGCCCATTGACGAGGAACTCCGAAGGAAAATCAATGGTGGGACAGTGCTCCAGATGGAGAGAATAAAAAGCATTGTTCCGAAGACTTCTGATATCGACCCCACTTTCGAGTTCGAATTTTGCCTCACCAACATGGGGGACTTGACGAAGAATGTGACAGAAGGCGGAGACCACGTACAGGCAGTGCATGCTCTCAGGACTGCATCTTTGAACAATGTCCCTTTTATTTGGGCGAATTTCTTAAACACCTTCCGCGGGCGTTTCACAAACACACTCGTGTACAATACTTTGTATGTTAATGCAGAGATAACTGAATACTTTTTCGAGAGGTCATTCCACTATCTCCATGCAGCATTAAAACTTTAAAACTAACATCGTTCACCAACTAATTTAGTGTGGGAAATCACTGGATTTTACCAATAAGTTTTCCTTCAAAACACGCTAGAGAAATATTTCATTTCTTGTTTGAAAAACCCGCTTCACAATAACGTTATATCAACCTTCAAGCTTGATTTGTATTTGATTATATATATCAACACAGTTATTATTTTTCAACGCAACTATAGTGTACTTTTCTTTTTTAACTTTCACTTTGAAATGGTTTGTCGTCTGGACACTTGAACATAAAGAAATACCTATGAATATAAGGAGGACAAAGGGAAGAAATGGGAGTGAAAATATCGTGCAGAAAAGAGTTGAAAATTAATTAACAAATTTAAGATTATTTAAACATGGTTACGCAATTATTTATGAACAATGATGTTATATTGTTGTTAGAGCTTCACAGTAATCTGACGAAGGTTATTGCAGTTGTTTTCATCAGTATGACTATAGTGCTCTCACAGTAACCACATTATTATCAATAACTCCCTTTTTAAGATCTGGGAACTACAAATAAGATGTTGGATCGACAATGATTATTCTCTTGCCCTTTTTATTACCATTCTTTTAATTACTGGCAAATAGAATATGATCTGATGAGTATATACACAGACAAAACAATTTGTTAACCTAAACCCTATACTACACCAGGAAGAAAGGCATTTGGTATTAATACGTGTTTGTTTATTAGAACTTCTGGTGCATGTATATATCCAGATGCTTAGCTATGTGATATCCAGATTGTATTTTAAATTTTGCTTAAATAATGCATGGTAGCAGTTTTAAGAGCAGTCTGTATGTCAATAAATTAAATAAACTGCAATTTCATTTAGAATGTTCATTTTCCTCAGAAATATTTGTGGACTTATTTCCAGCATGCTACTTAGATCAATTTATGTAATTGTTGCCAGATGCTCCTGGTTGGAATGTACCTTCGTTTTGCGCGAATCTAATATTAGCACAAATTGAAAATCAAATATATGCAAACTTAAGTACTTCGAAAGTTTAGCATTCATATATAAACGCAAAGCTATAATATATGAATTACTGTGATATGGACGTGACTGGAGGTTTTGGTGAAAATTTAGAGGCGATGTAACATCAAGTTGACGTGTGTGAATGGGAAAGCATCAGTGAGACCAACAGCGCAAACATAAGTCTTTCATTAACAACAGCACACTTTACCGTGAAAAGGTCTGAAGGTATTCAGTGCCTATTCTATGCAGTCTATAAAATCTTATTCGAGTGATCGTACATTCCCAAGAAAAAAAACAAAAAAAAAACAAGAAACAAAAACAAAACAGATATTCAGCATTTGAAGTAAGTTGGATGAACAAAAGAAAGAGACGACATTAACTATACAGAATACCGCTTGTGATGTTTTTTCTCTTTATTGTTATCATTTTGGGGATTTATTATTTTACTAACAGTACTATTACGACTACTACTGATAATAAAGATAATGACGGTGACGATGATAATAATATCTATAATTAAGATAATGATGGTGATGATGACGATGATAAGCATAAAGATATTATAATAATGATAATGATATAATCAATAAAAATGATCATGATAATTATAATTATACTGTTATTCCTACTACTAAGGCTGCTGTTGATGTAATGATGGTAGTAGTAATAGTAATAGTAGTAGTAGCAATAAAGATGACAGTAAATAAATAATGTAGATGATAATGATGATGTGGATGATGAACGGAATAATGATATTGATAATAATAATAATAATAATAATAATAATAATAATAATAATAATAATAATAATAATAATAATAATAATAGTAATAATAATAATAATAATAATAATAATAATAATAATAATAATAATAATAATAATAATAATAATAACAATAAGAATAATGTTGATAATAATAATAATAATAATGATAATAATAATGATAATAATAATAATAATAATGATGATAACAATAATAATTATAATAGTAATGATACTGATAAAATGATATTAATGATGAAAATATCAATAACAGCAGCAACAATAACAGTAATGATAATAACGAGAATGGCGATAATGATAATGATAATAATGAGAATGGTGATAATGATAATGACAATAATAATGATGATAATTACACTACTATCTCCAATGACCACCCTTATCCCTCGCTCGTTGTTGCTTGGGGAAGGGGGGGGGGCAGAGACTGAGGCCCACTGCAAGGAACCGCCCCGCTACCCAGGGCCTCAGCCTCAACTAATTTTACATGCCTTTTCCCATCCCCCATTCTTTTTATTTCTCTTCTTCATCCCTTTTTCTCTGTCCACGTCCGGAAGTAAGCGAGCTTCGCTGAAACGATGAAAGGCCTTTTCACTCCGGTCGCTCTTCCCTCTTTGTCCTTTTCACTAACCTACAGCCGTGGTAGCGCTTTCGTCTAGCAGTCTTGCTGACCAGGGTTCAAGCCTCACCCTATCGCTGTATTTGGAATGACCTTAGATGTTGACGCGGCAGAAAAAAAACAATAAATAGGTAAGTAATACCACTAACGATAATAATAATGGTAATGATAACAGTGAAATTATTATGATAATGACAATAATGATAATAATAATAATAGTAACATAATAATAATAATAATATTTGGAATGACCTTAGATGTTGACGCGGCAGAAAAAATCAATAAATAGATAAGTAATACCACTAACGATAATAATAATAATGGTAATGATATCAGTGAAAATTATTGTAATAATAACAATAATGATAATAATAATAATAGTAATATAATAATATTAATAATAATAATAATAATAATAATAATAATAATAATAATAATAATAATAATAATAATAATAATAATAATAATAATGATAATAATAATAATAATAATAATAACAACAATAATGATGATTAATAATGATAATGATAATAATGATAATAACAATACTAATGACCTTGATGATGATGATAAAATGATATAAAGAATAACAATCCTGTGTGTGTCTCAATGAATCACGTTGAATGCCACAAGAAAGTGATGTAAATGCAAGTATGTGCACTGCATTACCATTTCATGTATCGCTACTCAGTTCTATAATGACCTTATTAATTCATTATCGTCCTTTACACCACTCTATTCATACTTATCCCATGATATTTATCCTAATATAGCAATGATTAAGGCCATATCGATAACCCTTTAATTAATATACTAGCATGGCAACCAACCTCTAGCAACAAACTTCATCACAGAAGATATAAATAAACGCTATGCAACTCAAACACGCAAACACAAGCCACCAGCACAGGAATGCAATTGCAAGACAGTCGCGTTCATTCAACAATAACTTTAACAACATAAGATGAAGGCAGTGTAATATCGCGCAGAACTATCTTTTCACGGACTTTTATTAAGTTTATTACAGGATATTACCATAGGCGACGCGAAGACTCACAGCCAAGACGTAAATATAAATATCTAGGAAGAACGAAGTTGTAACTCTGCTCAAGGTCAAGTTGGTGTCCAAGCCTGAGGTTGTACTTGTCTCTCTGCGTTGCTTCTCTCGGACTCAGTCATTGCTTGTTCACTTTTATAGAACAGATTTTTCGTTTCAAGTGCACCAGGAAAGCTTGTGTGGATTGAACTTTATAAGTGAGTATAAGCATAGATCTGTTTCCCTCCTGGCTATCGATTTTGGATCAGCATATACTGTTGCGTCGATTTTTTCACCGGGAAATTGCCGTTGCTAAGTGGGGATTCGAGATTGGCAGAACTTGTTCAGTTACTGAAGTGGATTTAATTTTTTTTTCGTTTATTATTACCATCATTATTTTTTGGGTGATGTGTTTTAACTTGTGTGTACGATGAGGTTCGACAAACTATTCTACGGTTATAGCACGCCACACTTTCATGTTTATTTATCAGTTTACAGTTTTATGTTTTGATGCTATTTTAAATTATTGGGTACAGTACATACCCGTATATATATATATGTTTATAAATAGAAACTCATTTGGGAGGTGGCAGGTTAGATTACGTATTTGGCAAAAATCTAGTTCATGGTAATGTCTGTACTTCACTGGTACGAGAATTAGTTAGTGACCACTTTGCAATCCGAACTGACTATACTGTTGACAGCAACTCAGCCCCTAAAACACCTAGGCTTAGAATAATCATCCCACCGGGCCTGGAGCATCACTTCAAGGCACGTGTCTTTGATTGGTACACACACATATGAAGTAACAACAGTTGAAAAATTTCTCTCAGGATTTAATCAAAGTTGTCACTGACTACTATAACACATGGGTCTGTTCACGAAAACTCTCGAAGAAAAGAGCCCCCAAGCCCCCCATGCTCCGAGGTGGATCAATGACCCAATTCTAGCCAAGGAACATCAACGAGTTTAGGAGCTTGCCAATTGCTATAAAGATAACAAGACATCAGACAATCTTATTCAGTTTCTTAAAGCCAATAAAGAATTCAGAGAACTAAAAACTGAGATTCGTAGTAAACACTGGGAACAATTTTTGCAAAGCATCAATAGTCAAACTTCCATGGCTGATGTATGGAGAAAGATTAATAGGCTGACAGGTAAAGCTCCCAAACACCGCAGTTTCAGCCCACAAGAACAGGCTAATATGCTACTGGAGCAGTGGGCTGAAAACTCTCAGCTGAGCTCACTTCCACAAGGGATAAAAGACCATCTCGACAAGTCAAAAATAGATAGGAAATTCAATATAGCAGTAGCCTGTGCTGCTATTGACCCATCCGACTTTGCCGAAATAACCGAGTGGGAACTGAGAAATGCCCTTGTGAAAGGCAAGGCAACAGCCCTGGCGAGGATGGCATTACTTAGTGTTCTTCGCCTCATTGCGCAGGTGCCAGGCAACCCACTCTTACACCTGTATAGACTCAGCCTATCACAAGGAATCCTCCCAAGCTCCTGGACTAAAAGTTTAATCATCCTATACCCAAATCCAACACTGACAAATACAGACCAATTTCCTTGACCTCCTGTCTGTGCAAAATACTTGAGAGAATAATTCTGAACAGACTCATGTACCGTATACATGCTAAGTTATCCCCCAGACTGTATGGATTTCTCCCAGGACGTAGCAGTCAGCATTGTTTTGCAGAATACTTAACAAACTCAATACCAGGCATGCAAACTGTATTTCTTGATCTTCAATCTGCCTTTGATATTGCAAACAGAGAAATGATCCTTGAGCAACTAGCTAGCTTTGGTATTCAGGGGAAAACTGTTAACATGGATTCAAATGTATCTATCCAATCGATCGGCTCAGGTTTTCTTCAGGGGTGTTAAGAGTACTCATGCAAAAGTGTTTGAACTCGGCACACCTCAGGGAGGCGTACTTAGTCCCATGCTATTTAACATCCTAATGCATAGATTACTAGGCGATATACCACTTGAGGGCAGTGACTCCATTATTTGCTATGCCGATGATATTTGCATTAAATCCTCATCCGAGGAGAGAATGCAACAGATCCTTGATGTGCTTTCAGCAAGGGCTACAGAGTGTGGCTTGATAATATCGACTGAAAAAACCAAGGCACTTAACCCTAAAACAATCCCTCTGCCAAGGTTTCACATCAATGACGTTGAGCTAGATCTCTGTCACCAATACAAATATCTCGGGGTGGCTGTTAATGATGCAGAGTTCATACAAAACCTGAAGAAAAGGCTGTGGGAACGTCTGAAGCCACTTAGGACACTTGTCGGCAAAGACCATGGTATTAATGTCAATATTGCTAGACTCTTTTACCTGTCATACATACGGTCGGTCATAGATTATCATGCATTGCACCTAGTATTATACAAGGAATCAGAGTTGGCTAGTTTAGAAATTGTACAAAATGAGGCCATGAGGCTTATTCTCGGCGCCCCTAAGACAACGAGGATTGTGAATATGAGATCAGAACTTAATTTGCCGTCTGTCTATGAAAGAAATATTATACATAAACACCACATTTAGCGTCAAAGCATAAGAGAACCCTCTATTGTATAGAGT